CACGATCCCTAAAGTTCAATTACCCTCCCCGCGAGTTACTACTATTGAACATATCCATCGTGTAGGTCAGCGCAATGAGGAAAGCGCGCGCCACAGGAAGAATAAAGCTGAAGAGTTTAGCCTTCCTCAGTAAGGCTGTAAGGTCGATTCAGCATTGTTCTGATGTAGTGCTACGTAGGAGGATCCAGCTCTGACTCGTACACCTTGGGACTAGCCCGGGGACGGGTGGAGTATCATAGCAGAAGGGAAGGGGAAAAATGTGGGAAATTATTGGCCCGTTTCCCTTGATTTGGAGGAGCGACTTAGTGTTCCTCATGAGCTCGCTCGAGCCTATTTTTGTTAGTGATCACTTGGTATCACTCGCTTAATCGAACTATGATATGATACGAGGGGATCCGTATAGTGAACTTCAGTAGAGGATGCGTTCCAAATATTAAGCGTGTGGGGAAAAAAATCTGAATTCCGCTGTCAACATATTAGTTTTCCGCTCAGTCACCTCCCCCCCCAGCTTGTGTAAATCGATCGAGGGCTGTATGTTTATGGGAAATCTAATTGACTTCCTCTACTTAAGATTCCTCATTACCATCTAACCTAACCCACTCGAAATTTAGGAGTAAAGCGGGAATTGTACTGAGCTCCTCCGCTCCAAGTTAGGCCAATAGAGGTGTGTATGCAAACGGCTTCCTAGGCATCGGAAAATTCGAAATTATTTAAACTTCTTTCTTCCTTGCCTACTAGCGCCTCCACATCACATATACATATACAAGGTGTTCTTAGAGATGCCAGTCTCTTCCCCTCTCTCCCCTACCAATTTAAAATGAAAATGAAAATTGTTTGAAAGTTCTAGGCATGATACTATACAGACTCTCTAGTTACCCAGTATCCCATATTAACCACTACCCGGCTAGGTTATTACTACCCGCGAAGAAATCCCCACCGATCCAGACAGTGTGACTGGGAGGTGGGATTTCGGTGAGCTGCCCCAGCCTAGGATCCTTTCTACATTTCCAAAGTAGATGCTACTGTTCCGTGCTGCCGTAGAGAAACCCTCCCCCCCAAAAAAAACATATCTCGGTATACTTGCAACTATTGATGACTATAGCAGCGCGATCATGCCCCGCCTTCTCCTCCTCTCTCGCCTCTCCGACGCTATCTTGACCATGAAGACCGATACTTACACCTCCTACCACCCCTCCACGTCCTCCAACTCCGGATTATAATAATGCCTCCTTTTTGATATTTCAGCACCTGATGAGAACCTCTACCTCCCTAGGTGATTCGTTCAGTGAAACCCCTATACGAAGTTTCAAAATATCTATCCACACACCAACAGTTTCCGACAGCCTGAAGACCAATGCAAACAATAAACTAGGCGAGGGGGGAAAGATAAAAGGAAAGTGGAAGGCAAAGTATTATAAATAAACCCCATTAGTAATCCCCTCCGCTAACAAGGCGAGAGAAGCCCTATCTTTACTCCCGCGTAATCATGTTGAGTACTAGTATTACGCGGGATACTACGATATCCTCATGGTCATTAGGGCGAGCCTATGTGGGCCACGAGCAAAGCTCAGGACCTGTATGTGATATCATACCATATCTCTCCTTAGATAGCTATAGCCATAACTAGGAAATTCATCATTCCATCCACCCATCCATATCCCGGTATATCATGTCCCCACAAGAGACTCGCCAAACGATAGAAAAAAGACGGTTTCACACTCCGCCTCTTCACCGCGGACTCAATTGGCTGCATAATACGTGATCTGGGGTCTTGACATAACCATGGGCGAACTTCCCCCTCGGAAACCCGTCGAGAAGTCAGTGGGCTGTGCAGCTCAACCTCCATTTGCTCCCCAGTACAAGACACGATGGAACTTGAATAAATTACCAGTCTAGACTAGGGAAGATAGATGATGGGGGTCCCAAAGACAATGGCGTTCACTCTAAGTAATAGATTCTCACGAGTGTTGGTACACCACAATGACCCGTCCGCTACATCCCAGCCCTTCGAACAAATTCCAAAGATCCTTCGAGTCGATCTCAAATCTGAGAGCCCATCTATAAGAGAGGTGATGACTGGAGAGATGGCTTTGCTTATGGGGTATTTGTTTTTTTAGTCTTAGTGGGAGGTGCTACTCCTCTTCTATATAACTTACCATATGCGCATTTACCCCAGGACGTGATGCTCGGCTAACATCCTGGGGGTTAGTGCTTCGCTTCCTCCGTGTTTGGAGTTTCCCGTCATACTAACTGCAGGGCGGTATGATAACCCCGGGAAGTAGTGTGTTATAGTGTTGGGGGCACAGATATGAAGGAGCACAGGAACACAGCTATGTGCCGAGGTATGTATGGAAAATGTGTGAGTAGAGGTATGATATACTGTACATATGTGTAATGCTCAAGGGCACAGACGAGTGCAAGTGCTTACCCTCTTGCGGTGTCCTGCTATTATGCCTATGATATATAATATATAGATAGCTATGATACCTTCTATAGAAAGAATAACACACTTCTCTACACCCTCGAACCAACCAACCGACTGTCCACGTCCACCACCACCATCGCCCGCTCCGTCTATCTCACTGGTATGATAGTTACAAGTCCGAAAGTGGATTTCCTAGAAAGCTATAGAGTTATGGAACGTTAGCACAAGCACACACATCGTTTCCACCAGGACACCCTACTTTGCAGGAGGCCATCACGGTTAATCACCACACACGCCCTACCCAAATACCCTCCAACACTCAGCTTAAGCACCACCACCCAACAAACCCAACAAACGTCAGACCCGTTCACTAAGTCCCTATCTAGCGGTTACTAAAAACATACCGTGCCCAAGGAGGAGAACCCAATCCAATGCATAAGGGGGCTGTTTGGTGCGTTCCGGTTTGAAAGGTACAGGAGTTACAAACCATGGTTTAAAAACGTGTCTCGCCAGACACCCCCTGTTGTTTGTAAAAATTAAAATCAAAAATTAGATGTATCGTAAGAGACTAACCAAATTATAGCAAAGAATTCATATAACCTAAAGATGCAGAGAATTTTTGGGAAGAATTTCATGGCAGAAGAAGTTCCCATCCCACAACTAAATCTGAGGGAAAAAAACAATTAACAAGTTATTTGTGAATAGTTATTATATTAAATAAAAGTTAAATCTATAACTATAACCAGAAGAGAATTTTTTTCTTTTTCTTTTCAAAAGCTTCCAACCAGAACGCACCAAACAGTCCCTAAATTTTAACGAATCACATTCCAGCCATTTCCATCATGACCAAGTTACCCCGCATCACACCTTCGAAGCAGCTAGATATCTAAGCAGAAACCCACCCCAATTTTATCCCATCGTATCATTTATCATACAAGCACATCGTCAGCCTGCACGAGTGACAAAAGATGATCTAAGCCTCGACCCATTTTCAGCCGTAGCATTTTCCCGAAACAACCCTAATCACCCCCTCCCCCCTCCCCCCGCGCTTTCAGCCGATTTTTTTTTTAACACCCAATCTCCTCAGCTCACATGCCGTGCTAGTATTATAAAGCAAAGTACGGTACGGTACAGTATACAGATGACCCGCCACGTCCGGGGGGGGTTGCGCACAGCAAACCTGAACAAAAACCTATCATAGCGTACACTACCGTATGCCGACCCATCCGTGCCACCGGGTTATGTATGGTAAGCACGATACGTTACCCGAATCAGAGGCGTTAAAAGGTGTGTACAGTACTAGTAGCACAGTACGAGTACAGCGCCATAAGTGTGTTTTTTTTTTATATATATATCTCACAAATCAGGGCGGGATATAAACTACTATAATAATAAATAAATAAATAATTTAAATAAAAGCGACGGTTCTAGATGGTATGTAGGGTGCCCAGCCTCCCCAGGCACACCAAGTTTTACCAACCAACCAACCAACGCTCCTCCCACCTCATATCGATACCGGTATTAATACAGGGAGAAAAGGGAGACCGCCTAGACTGACCCTACCGGTACAATACAGTACTGTACTATTAGTACTCGTATGATACAGCTACAAGTTCGAAACAAAGTCGGTTACGTCATACTAGAACTCGTAAGAAATAAGCCAGCCGGGGTAATACGGTGCTCCGGGACAAAGTGCTAGTACTGTACAGTAGCGTACCGTATCTTCTCGTCCAATCATTCACATACCTCCGGCAGACCTCCACGAGTAATCTAAATACCCAGAGACAAAAAGGATACACAAAAGGAAAGGTTTTCAGTGTGAGAGGTTAACAGAATTTGGAATACCAGTTTGCACTTTCACGATTTGCCATGTGAGGGAGAATACTTAAGTTAAGCCTTCCTGGGGGGGGGGGGGGTTGTCTCTCTAAGCACAGAGATAGTGGATTGCACTAGAAGATACGGGATATGGTACGCACAAAAACGGCTGAGAAACCCAGTGCCTAAATCTACCGTACCGTACCATCTAACCTGAAGATCGCACTCCCCACCCAGGATCCGATGCCTGTGTGACACAGCCCCGGCAGCGTGAATAACAGAGCTGATCTGCACGCACGCCTGGCTACAGTGTGTCACCCGCGATTGAAATGTTCGAATGCCTCGGGGCTGGGGAGTAAGCGATAGCTCCCGGCGGGTGATCTTCCTGCCGGGGTGTGGGTTCGTCTAATGAAGGGTTGGGCACTGCATGGTAGCGTACCGTACCTGCAGGGCCAGTATTAGATCCGTGCCTACTGTAGCTGGAGATCCTAGTATGATACTTGCATGTTGGCTTGGAGTACTAGTACTCGTACAGTAGCAGTGCTCTGCAGTGGCGTGGTGGTCTTCAATAGCACTATCATAGCCCAGGAACCGGAAACTACCGTGCCGTGGCCTATCATACCCGGAGAGCGTGGAGCAAAAGGGTACCTTCCACCTCCCAGGTTATGTTACTATCATATCAAGAACTATATATCCCGAGGACGACCCCCCCCCCCCCAAAACGAACCAAACCAGGCCCACTCCCAGGTAAATTCCAAAAATGCATATCCCGATATTCCTCCTAACCATCCTGACAACAATGCCCATCACATCCACAGCACAGGGGGTAAACGCCGGCTACGACGTGCAAAAGGTCAAATCCCAGATGCTCCGACTGGCAACCCACAGTTGGGAATACGGCACGGCAGCGCAAGCACTCCTGGAACTCGACAACCCGGAATTGTCCATCTTTGGAGCGTCCCCATTCCCAATCCCCGGTAATCCCTCGGGCTCCGCACTAGAATATGCAAAGCAGCATATCACGCTAACTGGCGACACCCTCATAAATGGAGACGGTACGTCCCTATCCCGCACGAATTCCCAATGGAGCATCGCTAAACACTCGCCACAACAGGAGCGTTGGGAGACCCAGCATCCCTGGGCATACCAGCCCTCCTCCTGGGAAAAACCGACCAACGCTACCGCGACGCAGCGGAGCGACAGACATTGCACATCTTCCAAGCACCAAAGTGGCCAAACGGCGCCATAAGTCATCGCGAATCCGTCGCAGAGCTATGGTTTCCCCCCCCCCCCCCGTCTCCCCCTCCCCTCCCCTTTCCAACACATCATTAACCCCCACACCCCCCAAAACCACAGGGCAGACTTCATATACATGGTACCACCATACCTAGCGTACCACGGTGCATACAAGTCGGACGAATGGCTACTCCGCCAAGCAATCTCGCAATGCGCCCTCTACCGCGACGTCCTGAAATCCCCCTCCGGTCTCTGGACGCACATAGAAGGACCCCAGAGCGCCGACAGGGGCAGGTGGAGCACCGGAAACGCGTGGGCCGCCGCGGGCATCCTCCGCGTCCTCGCCACCATAACCAAAGCCCCCCAATCCCGAGGCTGGAGGGCGGAGCAGGACCTGCTGAAATCGTACCTGAAGGAGATCCTGGACGGCGCCATGAGCGCGCAGAAGGATGGCGGCCTGCTGAGGAACTACCTCGACGACGGGTCCTGGTTCGGCGAGGTCTCCGGCACGACCCTCCTGGTCGCCGTCGCCTACCGCGCGCACACCATGCACCCGGATACCTTCGGGAGAGCCTACCTGGACTGGGCCGAGGAGGGGAGGGGCGAGATCGCCCGCAGGGTGGACGGGAACGGGATCCTGGCGCCGGCGGTGAACCCGCTCTCGTGGGGGGATAGAAACCCCGTATCCACCGGGAGCCCGGAAGCGAACGCTTTTGGCGTGCTGCTCTATACCGCTTATAGGGATTACGTCAATAATTCTGGGAAATGAAGGGGGGGGGTAAAAACTGAATGTTTCTTTTGTCTTTTGTCTTCCGTTTTTCGTCGCGTCGCAAGAATATTTACCGTAGTGTGTCTGATAATCCACGGACGATGGATGACTGAGTACTGTACGAGTACTGTACGAGTACTACGCTAAATTTATACCATGCCAGGATCTGTGAGAACAAGAAGAAGAAAAATCCTGAACCAAATCCCCCTCCGGTCGGTACCGGTACTTAACACCCGACATCATACTTGTACAGTAACCTGCCCTCCTTACAGTTGTACCAGTACACTGCCCTAGATCGCAAAGAAAAATGAAAAAGGTAAAAGACAAAGATCTAGTGCGAGACAAAAGGGCAGAGTGATATCTCATGGCACAAAGCACAATACCGGACCGTGCCGCATTCGTAATCGCAATCGCCATGATTATAAAAGCTTGGATGGGGCAGGCCCGACAATGGGGAAATCGACAAATTCCAAAGTGAAAATATAGGGCTTGGCAGACGTCAAAGGAGGAGTTCACCGTGAAAGGTTAGGGTAAGTTATGTACGAGCACTCGTACGGTACGTTCCCAATTCAAAGCAGCATCCCACCCCGCATTTCACTTGGACTATTATAACGTATTAGACTAAGTCTTAGTTATAGTTTACCACGAAGGCAGCACTGCTAGTTGCTTCATCCAAATCATCACACCAGATGCAGGCTTGAACCACCAAACAAGTACCGGTATAATACAGAAAAACTCATCCAACGCAAAGACGGCGTCAACCACCCACCGTATCCATATACCGGTGCCCATTCCCAAGGCCCCCCTGTATCCTCCCTTCCTATTCCGCCCCCCCGTGAAGAGAAAAAAGGTAAAAATAAAATGAAATGAAGAAAAACTCGCTCCTATGCAGCCTTCGTCCACCAATCCCACGACTGCTGTCACCGCCTACAGGATAACACGGACAGATGGATGGATAGATAATTCAGAAAGGAAAAATAAATAAAATAAAATATCCCGTCTACGCATTTCCCTCGAAACACACGGAAAGTATCGCGAAAAGGCGATTTGCTACATGGAAGATTTCTATCTATTGAGAAGAGAAGAGAGGACGGGAAAGAAAGGGAACTGAATTAGAGATCACTCAACTTTCCCGCTCGCCCCCACTGCCCCATCCACCATAACATCACACAACTCCCGGAGCCTACGCCTACCTCCTCTGAGACTCAACCCGCCTCCTCAATGATCTAGTCCTCTTTCGTAGTTTCCTCAACTTATGCTTTTTCATCTTATGTTTCCTAATCCTCTTGACGGAAATAAGGCGCATGACCACTCGTCCGGGGTTCTCGTCACGCACAGCCTCGCCATTGCGTCGTTGGCGGATCATGTCCTCGAGAAGGATTTTGCTATTACCCGAGACAGTGATGGTCCCCCCCCCTTGTGCTGCGGCTCGGAGGAGGAGTTGGATGAGTTGCTTTTGAAGCCTCGGCCTCAGGAAGGCCGTTTGTGCTCTTGGCGGTGGGGGCGGATGGAATGGTCTGTAGGAGAAATAGTCCAAGCCCAGATTTGCCGAGTCGGTGGCATCCTGTGTAGACTGATGGGCTTGTGGTTGTGCTGCCACCACTTGCTGCTGTTGCTGCTGGGCGTTGCCCGAGGCTGATCGTATGGCGGATTCCAACCACCCGGACTCGACCGCCGCCACTTCTACGTGCTCAAAGTCTGCTGGTGACGGAGAGTTCTGGTGTATAGGGCGTTCAACGGCAGGTTTCCGCGAGGTGAAAATATTCCCGAAAAGGGTTTCTGAGTGGTTCAGTGGGACCGGGTGGGAGATACTGACAGGCCGGTGTTGGGCGAAGAAGGCTGATATTGCTACGTCTATCAAAGTAGATCACTTAGTAAGAGATCGGATAGGGAGAAGGGGGGCAGGGGTGTACCGGCTGGGTGGAGATGGTCGGTGCTGGGCACCACGGGAACTTTTGATCGCTCCTTTGTCGCTGTTGATGTAGAGCCCTTGATCCCCGTTCTAGTTGATCTTCGAACAGTAGGCGTACCGGCGATACTGCCAGATGTCCCATCCGAAGGATTTGAAGGTTTAGAGGAAGATGATGAGGAGTAAGATCTCAACCTTGGTCGGATATGGATGGCGGGGGAGGCAACTTGTTTGATGGATACTATTGGGCGGGGGAGAACAGCTGAGACACCGCGCAAGGCTAAAGTAACATGGCCGAGGGAGAACATCTTGTTACTGCTGCCAAGCGGAGAAAAGGGAGGAGGGGGTGAAGATTCCCGGACGCAAAGGAGGAGGGGGTCCGAAATGGAAGAGGTTTGACGATGATGGGGTTGCTGTTGGCGGTTAGAGGAAAGGAAGGATCCACCTGATCCCAAATCCCGTCAACTTCAAATGGCAACCCTAGTGCCAAGACATCTCCATGACCCGAAGACTGGCTTACATCCATCCAACTCTTGAATCTTTCTGGATGAATTCATGAGCAAATAACGATTGTTAAAATTTCTGTTTGTCGAATTTCAACTATAACCGAGCAGCGCAGGAACTTCGAAAGGGGGGGGAGGGAACATTTGCTAGAATCCCGATGAACCCCCGACCGTGTGAGCAGAAAAGAAACAACAAGTCCGATGGGAAAATCCTCGAAATACGAACTTTGAAATGAAAGGAATTATATACATAGGATATGAAAGGATTTCTTAGAACCGCCAAGAAAGTGGACCTTTCCCGACCTCTCAATCCCAGGGTTTTCCCACCCCTTTTATATGTATACCCGATGTCCGGCAGCCCTCTAAGTTACATGCACGCCACGAGCTGAAGGAACTAGGGAGCCACCAGGCAGAATAAAGAAATGATGGATACCACATCGAAACACCACATGATGCCACCGCCCTCCAAGAAATAGGGAAAAGCAGAACAAGAAATCACCAGCCAGAGGACCGGACAAAAGTGCCATGTTCCCTCCAAAAAGAATCCGAAAAGCAAATGCCACCCTTACTCATCTAATGCTCCCCATCAAGTCTCCAATAAGGATAGATGATACGCAAAAAAAAATATAAAATAATAATATTCAGACCTTCCCCATTAACCCCATTAACAATAGCGAGAGCTATAACCAACCAGCTAGAACGAAAATCATGCAGAAGAAAAAGCAAAGCGAGTAGGTCACTGAAACAAGAACCGCTCGTAGCCGTTCGTTGAAGATAATTGGTGGTAAAAATATAGAATAAAAATGCCGTCACTGTCGTCACGCGTTGCAATTGCTCACCATCTTGAAACATAGCGGTAATAGCTTAAAGTCTCTTGCCTCTATCCGTCACGGATCATAAATGAGTTCGCTGCACACGTTTCCCCCTCATATCCCGACACCTCTTGGCAAATATAATTTTCCCTTGTTTCATAAAGCACTTACAGAACCAATGTTTGAAGATTTTTCTGTAGTATCATGTCCTGAACACTGGACATTGTGATCTTGAGCAAGTTTGTGTCGGTCGCGTTTGTAAAATGAACATAGATATCCTAATTCATTATATTGTTAGGGCCAACCTCAAAGGTGCCGGGCATAGGAAAGACATACCTTCGACGAGCTGCGATTCAATCTCCTGAAACTCTCCTCAAAATACATCGAGGCGTGCTTGTAGGACTGCGGATCGCCGGTGTAATCGGGAAAATATTTCCTCACTGGTGAGTTCGGCAATTTTTGCTTGAACAAATCGATCTTGTTTAGGAAGAGAATGATCGAAGTCTGGATAAACCACTGCGAATTGCAAATACTCTCGAATAGCATCAGCGCTTCTTGCATTTGGTTCTAAGCCAATATTAGCCACCAACACAGCCCGACCGCCCAACCACAACCGATGCGCAACGCCACCGGGAAAAACAAAAATATCCGCGGGCACCAAGAAGAACATACAGCGTCTTTGTCCTCAACCAAGCACTGGTCATATCCACTAATTGCAACCAAAAACAACAAGGCGGTGACATTTTCGAAACAATGGATCCACTTTTTGCGCTCAGATCGCTGTCCACCAACGTCAAACATGCGGTATGTTAAAGCTCCCAAGTCAAACAATGTTTCACTAATTCCAGTAGTCTTTAACCTGGAGCGGAGAATATCCTGATCAGTCGGCATGTAGTTGGGGACAAATAACCGATCAAGAGATTCAAAAAAACTAAAACACGGAGTTCTCCTATTAGCTACCATTCTAGTGTCTCTTACCCTCAAAGAGCAAGAACTGCGGGGAAACGACGGAGTCAAGGGCACCGCCAAACTCACTAATTCAGATTATCGTGCAGTGCGAACTCGTTTCCCCGGTGTACCGCCGTCTGAACACCACCATCTGCCCACAAACTTGCGAAGGCTTTCTGGTACTCCTTAGGGAATGGCTCTTGTCTCCCTAATTCGCGCTCCACTATGACCAGCTCAACATATGCCTAAAATATTGGTGATCAGTGCCGAATGGAACAAGCGTTGGATTTGAGAACACTGAAGGATAGCGCACTTCGTTTTCCTCGTTCTGGAATGCCAAATCATACGATTCCATAGCTTCCAGGATTATCTTGAACGAGTTCAACAAGTTGGAGAAGATTATTGCGCGATAGTCATCTCTGTCGTTTTTAGAGAAACCAGAGGCATGGATCAGCTTCATCTGCTTGAGAATGGTGGACTTCCCGCTCTCGCCAGCTCCTGTCGATAGACCACGCCGCATTAGTACCTACTGACAGATCATATAGGCCAATGACAATGTCCAGGCACCCAATGGATTAGCCACAGCAACGGTACCTAAGAGCAATAGTTTAACTTCCTTTGCGATGCGCTTCTCATCCTGTCGTATCAACCGCTCGATCTCACGAGACCTTTGAGCACCCTCATCGGGGGCTCCCCCCATACACATCTTTAACAAGCGCGCCACGACCGAAAGGGGAACTCCCTGGATATTCGAAAAGCAGACCAAGCGTGGAATTTACGTAGTTCGAGCAGCTGAAGAAAGCGCTATAGCAAGTAATATTCTTCCAAGGTCAACTGTACTAGTACAGAACAGGAGGGTCGAAATGGTATGCGAGGCGGGGGAAGGCGACAGTCTTCGAGAAGGCAGTAAGGACGAAGGGAAAAGAGGGGGGAGTAGGAGGAGGAGGAAATACTCCGGCCTTTGTGCGTCGGAAGTGAATGTATGTAATCCCCTAGGGCAAGGACTAATTCAACCCGGGTCAGTACAAACAGTAAGCAACTGCTACCCGGACAGGAGGAAAGACGGTGTGGCACACGAATAAGGGCGAGGTTCCCCAGTATGTTAGAAACAACAAGTTAGAAGAGTCTCTGATCTCATGTGGCATGGAGTCTGATTCCGGTGACACATGAAGCGTGTGTAATTGAGTGCTCCGAAGGTAATTGGGAAACGAAGTTGGGCACGCCTTTAGGGTGCAACAGCAACATTAAACAAGAAAGTACAGGACATAAATAGACAAGCACCAAATCGCCACAGAACGGACAAAAAAAGCATCAAAGGGAAAAAAGGCTTACCACCAGATTTACCACGAGCCTCTCGCAGCTTTTCATAGAAAATGAGAAGAAGAAAAAAAGTGTGTACGAGTACGAGTACGCCCAGGAACTCAATGTTTACCCAGGTACCTGCAGGTGGACGGGCGAGACGACCGGTAAAATACGGGAGGAATACAAGAATGGGCCAAACAAACTCAGGCAGAAAGGTAGAAGAGGTCCGCCGAAAGAAGATCGGCGGGTTAATAAGCAGTATAAGCGAGCACCGATACCGCGGCTGGTTCAACAGAGCTCTGTTCAAGTGAGAGCAAGTGGCACGAGAAGGGTTCGACGCTCAATTATATGATACTCTCTTTTTTCTTCCTTTCAGGCGAAGCCGCTGTGAAATTGACAGGATTGAACCACAGAGTCGACGGATAGGGCAGGGTGATAAGAAGCAAACTCTCGAACCGCAAGAAGGTAGGAGCGTGATATCGATCTGGAACAGCAGCCACAAAACAGGGAGCAACAAGCAAGGAATCAATTGGAAGGATCGAAAGAGAGAAGGAAGAGAGAGGAGTCGAAATTTTCCAAGCAAGAAAACCGGCCCTGGGGTGAATAGCGGTTTAGACTCGTACAGGGGAAAAAGAAAGTATACTGTACCGCTAAATAGTGATAGGAAGAGGGAAAGAAGGAAAGAAACAAGAGGATTCCCCCATTTCACTCTCTCGCGTCGGGGGCCGGTGGAGCACCGCAGGAAGAGCAGCAGCAGCAAGTGCTGTATCCTGTATCCTGTGGCACTAGCAGCAAGCAAGCAAGAAATCAAGCCCCCTCCTCAATCCTCTTGTAGCCTATGAATGGGCCCCATCCTCTTTCTTCCCTTTTCCCTCTCTTCCTTTCTTTTTTCCCTCTCCCTCCAGTGCTTTTTAGGAGCATCGTTAGGGGTCCAAGGATAAAAGGACCAAGGATGAAAGGGCAAAAGAGATGGCGAATGTTTCCTCCGGACAGGTAGGGTGTCAGCTTTCTGGGCCGAGAGCTGCTAGTATCATGCCGGCACAGTACCGCAAAGGCCCTGGTAGACAGAGGTGTGGGATACCCGCAGTCTGTGCGGGGAGTCCAATGCGTGCCAGTAAGCCCTTGTTCGTGTGGTCCGATTGCTTCACAAACTGGAGCAGAAGTACTAGTACTAGTACAGGAACTTGACAGCTCCAGCCAAATCCGGCGATGAATAATGATTCTGGTACAGTACAGCAGAGAAGCGGTATGATACAACCTTTGCCCAAGGCAGACCGACTGCGGACGCTCAGACGGCAAAAGGGGGAGAAACGATGGAAAAGTGAAAAAAAGAAAAGGGAGATATATTGCGATCATTGCCCTCAGTTGTTTGAGAAACAGACCTGTTTTGTCTTCTAGAACATTGTACTGCACTGTACTGTACGGTACAGTAGCTGGCATTTTTCACCAATCAAAAATAACTGAACACATCCCAGCAGCAACGAGAAAGACCATTACAGGATTTGCCAACCAGTCAATGTCATGTCGGAGAGGTAAGAAAGAACCTTTGGAGCCCCGGGAGTCTAATGCTCATCAAGCTGGGAGCCAACCCCAATCAGGTGCTCTCAGTCAATCATCACCACCACCACCACCACCACCATCATCACCATCGTTGTCTGTCCTACAGCCCGGAAAAGTAAGGCATTTCGTGGAGTGGTCACGGAACTGAATTGATTAAACCTGTCATCATACCGGGGAACACTTCCCGCTGCTACGTTCCACCCCTCTTTCCATGAGCACCTTCAGGGTGGAGGCTGACGTGGAAGGAGCGAGAGAATATTCCAATCACACTCGATTGCCCCAAACCTTCTTCTCCCATCTTCGATGAGTTACACATCACGATGATGGATGAGCGTTTTACTGCCCTCGAAAGTGCAGACAATTGCCCCATGCGATAATATTATTTGGCTCGTGGGATGTAGGCAGCCCTTTATGATATACGACCTGCAAGCTCAGCCGAAAAACGCGAAGAACTATGCCCCAGCGAACCGGTGTCCGCTAGTCTTCGGAGGAGGACGCCATGCCGCCTGATCTCAAAGCCGGGATAGATACCAGCAAGGGTTCAACTCGCGAAGAAACGGCACGGCAATGCGGGAGAGAAGCCCCCCCCATCTACCACACTTGCCCAGACAGCGAGAGCACCAAGGACGAAAGAAATATCCTTCCTGGGTGAAACCCCTCTCCCCCCATCTCCCAGGAGAGAAAGGAAAAGAAAAAGAAAAAAAGGGCTCGTCGGTTGTTGCAAGAAAAAGGAAAAAAAATAATATCGGAAAGACAGGACGATCGGATTTATATAGAATCAGACCTCATATCGGGATGGGATTGGATAACCGTCGTCCCCGCCTAGCTGTAAACTTGGACACGTTCATGGGCCTCGAGATCTTTGGAATGGTGTTTATCCTCAGCAAGTACAGTACAGCACGGTAGTCGAAGATTCGCTTTTGTTACTCGTAATATTCCCCCCCCCCCCCCCACCCTCCAATATTTCCTTCCACGATAGGGGCAAGGGAACAGAACTACCGAATCAAAGCCTATTGAATACGATATGAACCGGCCGAGGTACTAGTACACCCCGCGAATTGATAAGGCAGAGAAGGTCCGTGCAGCAAGGATCAGGTCCTTCTTTCCCAAAGAAACAACACCATCATGTCCTTTTGCCCTCCCGCTACCGCAGACAAACTTCTTCCAATGGGCACAGTGCTCGAGTTTTATCACCTGCAGGGTTACTGCTTGCTTGCCCGCTTGCTTGCAGGCTTTCTGCCTCTGCCTTTCCTGGTTGCCACGCGACCTCAAGACACATCTCTGGGTCCTGGGAAGCACGAAATGGCCCACAGATAAGAAAAGCGAAGAGGGGGTGAGAGATTACAGTGTGGTAGCCGGACTTGGGGTGTATTGGCGGGATGGGGTGCCAGTACTCGTGGTGTAGCGGTACAGCAGCGCTGGGCGAGCGAATGGTTGGAATGGGTAAACCTCCAGGAAGAGAATCCCCGGGTTCATCGGCTCCCGAGTTTTTTCCTGGGATACCGCAATTGTACTGGTACCATAAAGCACGGGCACCGCGCACGCACAGTACCAGCACGGATCAGAGAAAAGGCCTGAGGAGTTGAAACTCTTCAAGAAATCGCCCGTCATGACAGTGATAGGAAACCTTTGTCCGCATCCTCTCCGCAATGTAGAGTGCTTGTGCGGTACTGTATCATCTCACGTTGCTTACCGCAACTAATAATCTACGCCACCATTCCCCAATCTTCTTGGTTACCACCTTGTACCCCCACTTGCCTGGGACTGTGGAACCTAACCACCGATAAATTATGCCACCACCCCCCACTTTATCTAAAACCGCTCCTCCGCTATCTCCATGAAGAAAACCACCCTCACGGGATCGTTCGGCACGGTAGCGCCAAGCCGTGAGGCATTGTAGCCGGTGCTGGTAGGTAAAAGTACCGGCACCGTATACGGTACGCACTCGAACAGAGCCTGCAGAAATGTACAGCATCCAGAGCAGGTATTGGGGAAGGAAGGGGAAGAAGAAAAGGAGGGGGGGAAAAACAAAAGGTCACCAGTTACTTTCTCCGAGGCAAATGATAAAATGAAGGGCCCGGCCGTACCGGACAGCAAACGGGTTGACGCCGTTCAGATCAGGGTTACCACGGAAGGCGCATTCCGTGTGGCACTCGGAGCAAAATCACGTACCCCTGATCCCGCATGCGCGAACAAAGAAAGAAAGAAAGAAAGAAAGAGAGGGAGCGGAAAAAGGAAAGAAGGAAACGAAAATGGGAAACAGTAAGAAAAAGTAACTCTCACTTTTACTTTTTTTGCCCCACAATTCTGTACGAGAACTTTCCGGCGTACAGCACAGTACCCGTGTTGTACTCTACAGTACAGCATAGCACGGCGCCGTGAAGCCCGGGCTTCCCCTCCCCTCGGACTAGCCGAGCAATCGTGATACTAATATCATAATATGATAACATTTCTTAAAGGGAGAGCAGGGGGTGCAAGGTGATCACAAGGCATCACTCGAAGAGACCGTCGGGCTTTAGTGTCATCCGGCGTACAGCACGGAATGGTCCGGTCTCCTTTCGTCCCTGCTACCGCTATAGGATGGTACCCGTACTGTACCTGCAGTCTGTCCCCCTTCTCCAAACTTCTCGGCCGTGCCTCCTTCGCCTCCGGTATACTGCTTTCTCATCATCTGTCATCTCATATCCTTCCTTTGTTCCCTTTCTTTCTTTCCTTGTTTTAGCCTTCATTAGCTCGAAAACACCAGCTACGAGTAGAGTTCGGGGTTTTGGCCAGATGCTCCAGGAGTGCCTCCCTACTCCTGGAGACTTGGTCCCGGGCTTAACTCTGTATGAATTTATTCTGTGGTACCGAGCAAGTGGGAGAGGGGGGGTGGTACTAGTACTACTTGGAAGGGTATCGAGGCTTGTCGACACTGCTGCAGTCAAACCCCAAACGCCTACCGCGGTTTCCAAACTAGTAAACACTATTGAAGAAAAAAACGAAATTGAAGATGCGACAATCGTACTAGGAACCACGGTATCCCTGACCTTGGCTTTTCTCTCCCCCTCTCCACAGGATTACAGAACCTTAAATTTCCGACCCTCCGGTAACCGAGCTCCACCCCCATCTCCTGAGGTAATCCGTAACTACTTGTAGATACCTTCAAACCATGGCTTCTGTCTACCGGTACCTTGTGCGAGTGCGACACCGTGGGGACTGGCATTGAGAATCTCGCTGGGTGTTGCGTGTATCATACCGGTATACTCGAGTACGGTACTCGTACAGGCAACGACCCCTGGTGTGATGTGCACCGGCGGAGATGAGGGTTTGAATACCTGAGGATTTGAGATTAGAGGTTGTGGTCACATGTTGTTTGGTGTTTGGTTTTTAGCCAGCAGGCTCGCAACTGAGAACGCCAACAAAGTTCCTTTCTCCTCCACATCCAACGTCCTCTTGGTCTCTCAGCTTTTCTGCCACACAACACTGGGACATTCGAATCACCTCTACTAGCGAGGCCCGTCGTACCTCTCTTTGCGTTTGTCTCAGCTGAGGGCTGAAAGAGAGTACTCCCGCCGCGTTTCCCCTCTTGACCCAAAGGGGGAAATTATGGACGCCCCAGCATTATTCTCGATTACCGGTATTCTAGTTTTTACTGCATGATACCGATATTCGAACAAGGGAGCGAGGGGTAGGAAGGAAGAAGAAAAATGGGTTCCTGGGCTCTATTTCCACCTTACGTGTACGAGTACCATACTAGGATGGTATCATACTGTGCTGTTGGGAGCGGAGGCTAGCGAACAGGTATGATATTATGCTGGATGGGATTCCACGGGGCGGTTATCAATAGTTGTGGCAGAGACATTGCCTGGTTCTGTGCGATGCCGGGGATAAATTTGAGCGCAGTGGAACGGGCTGTTGGTTGGTTGAAGCGTTTCTACACACTCTCGCGAGCACGCACTGTACCTCGCGCTAACAAAGGTGCTGAGCGGTGGGAGAGAATTGGGTTAGCGGGGAGAGATTAATCTGTTGTAGGATTTTTGAGGCTTCAGTGATTTTGTCTTTGTCGTTTGGAGGGTGTGGATGGATGGGGTTCTGCTGGCAATGCACGAGGACAGGACGAGTGTTTCCTGGGAGGTTTACTCCGTCCAGATTGCACCATCAGAGTTTCTTCTTCACCCTTGCTCGGAATGCCTTCCAGGGTGAAGTGCTCGCATCGCAGCCTAAGGGGGGGAGGGGGTGAATGATGGGCCTGTAGCCCCGCCGCCACCGGATGCTGTGACGGTGGGTTTGAGCGCTGAGTTCGAAGTTGTCGTAGGACTCCACCAGTTCTACAATTCGGTGCCGTGAGATCTCAAATAATTGGGTCGTGTTCTACGCCGTCCAGTCTACCTCCTCTGGCGAGGTCTGGTGTCTTTGTTTCGTCCTTTTATGTCTTCCAGAGGGGCTGAGCGAAACACCTTTCGCCATGCTTTTCGCCCGCCCCCTTTCCAGAGAAGGAAATCTTGGGCTACCGACAAATACTCGAGTACCTAGCACACAGTCCAGTTATCTAACATTCTACGGTACTCAAGTACAGTACTCGAGTAGTCCGAGCATGAGGATGGCATCGGGGACGCCATCTTTCTATATTAATCCCCTACCGGTAATTACCGGTTCTCGTACAAGTACTTGGATGCACTCAAGAGCAGGTATGATACTGAGCTGGATCCAACATCACCTGACGATGCAAGTTGAGGCTGCAAGTACAGCCGACGAAGAGTTTACTTTCTGACTATTGCATTCAAGTTATTCACTTTCTCACTCAAGCACCCAACG